CAAGTCAAGGCTTATCTTTTTAGTCTCTTCATTCCCTTTACTTTTTCGATAATGGGAATTTCCTCTGTCTTTTTTATATTGGATTCGGTTTTCATGTTATCTTTTCTGTTTACTTTTTTTTGGCAGAGCATAGTTTTCATTACCTTCCTTTGAAAAGGTGCATTTTTTATTTTGAGACTTTATATGTCTGAAAATGTTTATAAGACTAAGTTGAAACCATTTTCCCTCAGTATTTTCAGGCAGTACTCCATTGTCTGCTGGTTTTCAATGTTGCTGTTGACACATAGGGTGCTGTTTTGATTTTTTGATTCATTTTTTGTCTCTGAAGGTTTTTTATTTACTCTTTATTTCTGGTATTCTGAAATTTCATTATGATGTGCTTTAGGATGGGTCTTTTTTATGTATTTTCTTGGAGACTTTCAATCTGAAAACTCATGTCTTTTGGTTCTGGGGAAACATTATTTCTTTGATAATTAATTTTCCTCCTTTTTTGTTATTTTTTTCCTAGAATTTTGATTATACTCATATTTTGAATTAATTATCTAAATTTAAAGAAAATTTGTCTTTTTATTCGAAATTTCTGGATGATATATGCAACTTATTTTCTAACCCTAGTTTCCACAACTTCTTTTTTACTGTTTGAATATTCCTTTTTAATATCTGCTCATTCTTTAACAGCTTCTCTTACACAGCTGAAGAAATGAATCATAGTTAACTTTTTTTCTTTCTGGATTATCTCTTTTCTTTGTCTTTTTGTTTTTGTTTTGTTTTTTGTTAATTCTCACCCGAGGATATTTTTTCCATTGATTTTTTAGAGAGACTGGAAGGGAGTGGGGGAGAGAGAGAGAGAGAGAAAGAAAAGACTGATTCATCGATTGGTTGCCTCCTGCACTGCCCCGACCCAGGCCAGGGATGGAGTCTGTAACTTGACCAGAATCAAATCTTCGACCCTTCAGTCCATGGGTGGATGGATGCTTTATCCACTGAGCTAAACCTGGTAGGGCTTCTCTGACGCTTTTATTTTTATTTTTAATTTTTTAAAATTTTTATTGATTTCAGAGAGAGGAAGGGAGAGGGAGAGAGAGAGATAGAAACATCAGTGATGAGAGAGAATTGTTGGCTGCCAACTGCACACCCCTTACTGGAGATTGAGCCTGCAACCCGGGCTTGCACCCTTGACCGGAATCGAACCCGGGACCCTTCAGTCCTCAGGCCGACACTCCATCCACTGAGCCAAACTGGCTAGGGCTTCTCTGACTTTTTAATGAGCCAAAGCAGGCTAGCGTAGACTCATTTCCCCACCTAGTCCCTTTCCTGTTGCTGCTTCTATCCTAGGCTATTCCTTGTTTTATTGTCCCCAGCTTTAATAATTGTCCTCTAAAAATCACCTGGACTGAAATCTTCCCTGCACGAAGTCAAGAAGCCACACACTACTGAGGGGCCCTAGGCAGACCGTTTGGGGCCAGGCCCCCTTTCTGGTAACATTATTACTATTATGTCTTCGGTTCTTTGTCCTTGTGGATTAGCAACCCCCTATTTTCCCCTTTTAATTGGAGTTCTGGAGAAAGTGGAGATAAATAGGTATATTCCATCTGTGATGTTTAACTGGAAGCTTCTGTACTGTTGATAGGCAAAGCATAATTTACACAAGAGAACACTCTTCTCGGGGAGTGAATATGGACCAAGTGGGCTGTTGAGGAAGATTACCTGTTTGACTTCCTTTTCAGTTACTGGTTGTGAGACCTTGGGCAGGTTTCTTTCTTTTTCTCAGGCTCAGAGAATGAGAATAATACTGCATGACTGAGTCCAAATGCCTTTCACTGACTCACTTAATGATGTTAATTCCCCTTCTTTTTCTTGTATCCTTGAAGAGTAGCTTAGATAATTTAGTTATGGTGTTGGTTTTCCCATGTGGAAATAAACTATTGGTTGGAAGCATCTAGGATGAATGAAGGATTTGGCATATTGTACAAAAGAAAATCATCAATGTGGATAATGAAACAGTAAAAGTAGACGGACAAAACTTCAGTCAACTTTGTAGGAGATCAGTAAAGGTCTTACAAAAGAGCCATGTATAGATTTTATGTTTAGAGTATTTAAGAGGTAGAATGAGCAAAAGAAGAGGCAGAAAACAAAACAAAACCAATAAACAAAAATGAGGGCACAGTGCCTTTAAGGTTTAAATCTGAAATGATATCAAAAGACAGGGTAAGTGAACTGAGAGGTCACAGAAGAAAACTACTGTGAGGAAATATGTATGTTTACTTGAGATTACATGAAGTCAGCCCCCATTGAATAGTATCTAGAATGATCTATAGGTTAGATGAGAAACAATGTGAGTTAAATCTATAAACATTGGGGTAAATGAATATATTGAATACGAATAGGAATATATTCCTATTTCAGAGATGAAGAAGTTCTCGCAGAAGGAATTGACTTGATTATAATCTTACTAGAGGCCCAGTGCATGAATTCGTGCATGGGTGGGGACTGGCTGGTTCGGCCCCAATTGGGGCGGATCAGGCCCGGGCTGGCTGGGGGGAGGGGCCGCAGGTGATTGGCTGGCAGGCCCCCCCCCAGGTTGGGGTGGGGGGGTCAGCCCCTCCCCACAGCCGGCCCTGCCCCCGAATGGGGTGGGGAGGCCAATCAGGGGTCAGCGGCTGGGGGAGGGCCTGTGGGAGGTTGGCCAACCAGCCCCACCCCCAATTGGTGTGGGTGGGGGCGATCAGGGGTGAAGCTGGCTGGGGGGAGGAGCTGCGGGCTGATCGGGATGGTAGGGGCTGATCGGGGGTGTGGCCAGCCGTGGGGAGGGGCTGTGGACGGTGGGCCGTCTGGCCCTGCCCCCAAATGGGGGGAGGTCGATAGGGGGCCAGTGGCCTGGGGGAGGGCCATAGGTTGTTGGCCAGCAGGCCCTGCCCCTGATCAGAGTGGGGGGCCGATCAGAGGCAGAGCTGGCAGGGGCAGGGGCCTCAGGCCAATTGGGGGGGTGGGGGCCGGCTGGGGGGGGGGGCCGCAGGCAGTTGGCCAGCCGGCCCTGCCCCTGATCAGGGTTGGGGGGCGATCAGGAGTGGGGCCGGCCAAGGGGAGAGGCTGTGGGCCTAACCGGGTGGTGGGGGCCCATTAGGGGTGGGACCGGCCAAGGGGAGGGGCTGCAGGAGGTTGGCCACTGGCCCCACCCCCTTTTGGGGTGGGGGGCGATTGGCTGCGGGGCTAGCCTGGGGGCAGGGCCGCAGGAGGTTGGCCAGCCGGCCCAACCCCCGATTGAGCCAGTTCGCTGGCCACAGTGGGCATCATAGCGACCAGTCATTCCGGTCATTACGGCGTTCCATTCGCTGGCTTTTTATATATATAGTTAGTAATTTGTACCTGAAGTAAGTCAGGATTCTTTATTGAATATGGTCATTTTATTCCTTTAATGTTTACATTTTCTGTGATGCTACAGACATACTCAAATTTATATTTTTCACTGCTTTAAAAAAATACAGTTCAGTTTGAACTGTAAAATATGATAAAACAGCTTAATCCAAGGCAGGCAATGGAGAATGGGCATGAGGATAAGTAATATCAAGGATTTTACCTTTGTTTTTCTTTGATGTTTGAAGGCTATTTTTCCAAAGCATGGATTAAGTAGGTCACCTCTTTTTTTTTAAGCACAATGTTATTTCATTGTCTTTTGTTTATCTTTTGTCTTTATCATTTGTTACAAGTTTGTTAGTATTATTGTTGCTCTTTTGAAGATAGTGTGTCTTTTTCCTTCTAGCTGTTTTTAAGATTTTTTTCCTTTGCCTTTGGTTTTAGACAGTTTCACTATGACGCGTGTAGTTGTGGTTTCTGTTGTATTTATCTTGATTGGGGCTTGCAGAGTTTCTTCAATAAAGTATGGTGTTTGTAGAGTATCTTTCATCAGCTTGTAGAATTCCTGGTTATTATCTCTTTAAATATTGCCTCTACTTCACTTTCTTTCCTCCTTCTGGGACTCAACACCACATATGTTAGAATTTTTGGCTGTGTCCTGCATTTCTTTTCTGAAATGTTACGTTTTATAGAGAATTAGAATATTTTCTATTGACCTATAGTCCTGTTTATTAAGCTCATCTTCTGCTGGGCATAAACTGCTGTTAAACCTATCTGTGGAGTTTTTCAACTGTATTTTTCACTTTTGAAATTTTTATTTGATTTTCTCTTGTATAGATCCTTTTTTTCATTTTAAAATCATTTTTATTTATTTTCATTTTTATTTTTCAATTATAGTTGGCATACAATATTACATTAGTTTTAGGTGTACACCCTAGTGGTTAGACATTACATACTTACTGAGTGATCATCCCAAGTAAATTTCACACCCATCTGACACCATACATAGTTATTAGAATACTAGAGGCCCAGTGCATGAAATTTGTGCACGGGTAGGATCCCTAGGGGCTGCCGGCTGCTGGCTGGGGCCTCCCTTTCCTCAGCTGTTGGCTGGGGCATCCCTTCACACCCGCCTTGGCCTGGCACTGCCCGCTCACCTGCTCCACCATCCTGCTGTGGTCCCGCTCTCGTCAGGGCCCATTAGGGCTGCAGTGCCTCCACTGCTGCCTGCTGCCAGCGCTGCATCACTGATGTCTGCCATGTTCTGCACTGGTGATCAGCACACGTCTAACTCCCAGTAGGTCAAACTCCCACCCATAAGGACAATTTGCATCTTAGCCTTTTATTATATAGGATTATTGACTATAGTTTCTATGCTGTACTTTATATCTGCATGACTATTTTGATTTTAAAATATGGTTGTATTATATATTCTATGAAGATGTTATGGCCTAACACTTATTGTTTATTCCTGTTTTGGATGTGTTGTTTCTCCACTTTTCTGGGTTATAGATAATATGTTAACTAACAATCTCATGTTACTTTTTTGATGAGTGTAGAAAAATTGTATTATATTTCACTTTCTGAATTTGTCTGATTGTTTCCTCTAGATACATACAGTTTAAACATTTTTGGAAAGAAAACTCATAGGTGATGATGTAATGTGTCATTTCTATCAGGAATCCCATGAAGTTTGTCTTCCTGTTGACAATGCAAAGTTCGATCACTGTTGCTATAGGTGGGAAACCTGGGGAGGGAGAGGCTTGAAGTGGGATCAAAGATCAAAGGCCTTAAGGTGGGTAGGAGCTTGATCTTCAAGGAACAAAAAGAAGGCCAATGTGGGCTGAAGCAGAGGGAGCAAGAGAAAGAATGGTAGGAGATAAGTTCAGATGGATAGGTAGGGACCAGATCATGTTAGGCTTTATAAGTCATCCATAGTAAGAAGTTATGATTAGAAAGTTTTTAGCAGTGGTGAGAAATGATAAGGCTTATATTTTAAAGGTATTTGGAAAATGAGTTGTGGAGGGATGAGAGTGGATGTAGGGGAGAGAGTGGAGGGGAGGGAGGAATGAGAGAGAGAGAAAAAAAAACATCGATTGCCTCCCACAAATGCCCTGACTGGGGCAGGGATGAACCTGCAACAGGGTATATGCCCTTGACCAGGAATCAAACCTGAGACCTTTGGTCTGCGGGCCGATGCTCTAACCACTGAGCAGCCATCTAGGGTGTGACTCTTCATCTTGATGGCAGAATGGCAAGGTTATGTTGCAGAAGACCATGTGTGGCCTCCTTTGGGAAATATAATCTGTAATACATGGTGTCCAAAAATGCCTTGGAATCATGATGAAGAAAGTTACAAGATGCAACAAGATTGAATATTTAAAACTAAAGCCAGTTAATTTTCTCTGTCAGAGTGACAATTTTAAGAGTTCTTATTGTTAGGAAAGCTTTAGGGAAAGGTCCCCATACTGTTGTAAAGAGTGTGGTTTAGTATAGCTTTTTCAAAGGGCAAGATACTAAAATATCTTAGGGTTTAAAAATTCATCTACTTTGTTTCAGCATTTTTGCATCTAGGAATTTCTCCTAAGGAATAATAGGAAAAGTGTGCAAAGTTGTATGAGCAAAGATATGTATCAGGTTGCTTATTTATTTAGAGGAAAAATTGTGTAAGTACAATGTTGGCTAAGTACAATATTGTTTAGCTATTAAATATAATGATAGCTGACACTTAGAAAATGCTTAATATATACTAGGATCATTCTAAGTACTTATAATTTATAGTTTGTACAGTCAGGGTGGTCCCCTCTCTTATGAAGCCCTGTACTGGGTTTAATGAAATTCTTAATTTTAAAACAGGAGGCCCCATTTTTTTTTTGCACTGGTCACCACAAATTTAGTTGTCATCTCTTTTTATAAATTTTTATTTTTCAATTGTAGTTTACATTCAACACTATTTTGTATTAGTTTCAGGTGTACAGTATAGTGATCTCCCTGATACCATACATAATTATTACAATATTATTTATTATATTCCCTATACTGTATTTTACATTCCTGTGACTTAGTTTGTGTTTCATTTCTATGTGAACTAAGTTTTTACATTTTTAAAAGTTGAGAAAAAACAAAGGATAATTTCATGACACAAAAATTATGCAAAGTTTATATTTTAGTACCTATAAATAAAGTTTTTTTGGAACACAGTCTTGCTTATTTACATATTTTCAATGACTGCTTTTTTGCTACAATAGCAGAATTGAGTAGTTGGGACAGGGACTGTATTGCCTTCAAAGCTTAATATTCCCTATCTGGTTCTTTATGGAAAGTTTGCTAACTCTGGATATAAACCACTGCTCTATTCTGCCTTTATAAAAGAATGAGGATATAGTTACATGCCATATAATTGACATTTTGGTTAATGACAGACCTCATATACAGTGGTGGTCCTAATATCATAGTGTATTACTCACCTGTTTGTGGTGATGCTGGTTTCAGCATTTTTGCATCTAGGAATTTCTCCTAAGGAATAATAGGAAAAGTGTGCAAAGTTGTATGAGCAAAGATATGTATCAAATTGCTTATTTATTTAGAGGAAAAATTGTGCAAGTACAATGTTGGCTAACTACAGTATTGTACTGTTGTCTAAAAGTTAGTTATGTACAGTATATAATACTTAATAATGGTAATAAATGACTTACTGGTTTGTGTATTTATATACTATTTATTATTGTTTTAGAGTGTATTCTTTCTACTTATGAAAACAGGGTTTGCTGTAAACTGCATGCCATGTTACACTGGCAGCCGCCTCATACATCTCATATTTACTGCGCCTCATGGTTGTGTCTCTCTTGTGCTTGACTTAATCATATGTTGTTTTGTACGGTAACATGCTATACAGTTTTATAGCCTAGGAGCAATAGGTTATCCAGTGGTTGGCAAACTGCAGCTCGCGAGCCACATGCGGCTCTTTGGCCCCTTGAGTGTGGCTCTTCCACAAAATACCGACTTCTGTGCATGGGCCATGAAGTTTCAATCACACTGTACATGCGCGCCCGCATGTGGTATTTTGTGGAAGAGCCACACTCAAGGGGCCAAAGAGCTGCATGTGGCTCGCGAGCCGCAGTTTGCCGACCACTGGCCTAGGTGTGTAGTAGGCTATTGCATCAAGGGTAAGTGCACTTTATGATGTCCATATGATGAAATCGCCTAACGAGACATTTCTCAGAATGTATTCCCATTGTTAAGCAGCACATGATTCTAAAGATCCCGGATAATGTTCATGATATAAGAAAAGTGGGATATAGAGTTATAATTTAGAATGTATAATATGACACTGCATATGTCAAAAGGGTTATGTGTTAAAATGTCTGGAAAGACTAATATATTTTATCTGGAAAATGGGAGTATGCTTTTTGGCCTTTAGTTTTAAAGTTTTATTTACAACAATCAGTGTTATTAGTAAAAACCAAAAAGACAAAACAATCAAAAACACAAAACACAGGGTAAGCAAAATGGGTGAAAAAAAAACACAACAATTAAAAAACCTCAAACATAATAGTGGGAAAGGAGGCCATGCATTCCTCTCCTTTCTCCTCTGCCTCTCATAACTTACAGAAAAGTTGAAAGGATCATACAATGAACACTTACTATCTTTCATCTAAGATTCACCAGTTGTTTATATTTTGACACATTTGTTTGCTCTGTTTTACACACACAAACACATCCCTGTAAATGCACACAGCAAGAATATTTTTTTTCTGAATCATTTGAAAGTTTGGCATGCATCTGTTAAAAATAAGGAATTCTCTTTTATAACCACACTTATAACACAGTAATTACATGTTCAAAATTTTCCAGATTTACAAATAATGTCTGTAAAATAAAGATGTTTTCCTCTTCCTGTGTAGGTAAAATCACTATTCTTCCCTACTATGCCTCTTTTCTTTACTAGTCACACAGAACACTTCACTTCTGACACTTCTGGTCACCAAATGTGTGGTCACCCCCCTCCCCACCCCACACCCCCTACACACACACAACAAACAAGTCTCCTACACTAGCTGTAATTTAACTAAATTCTGACACTATCTAGTCAAAGATAGCTTCAGATCTCACAGGTTAAGGGCTCAATATGATAAGGCTGCCATTCCCCATCTCCATTTCAGATGCCAGTTAAAATTCAGATTATCACCTGTAACTCTGACCAGCTATATAGATCGGAGGTTCCCATGACCACCCCACTCAGGTCTGAGTATAATTTGCTAGAGGGGTTCACAGAACCCAGGGAAACCACATATGTTTACCAGTTTATTAAAGGATGTGGTAAAGTATGTACATGAACAGCCAGATGAAAAGATACATAGGACTCAGTCTGGGAGAGTCCCAAAGTGCAGGAGCTTCTGTCCCTGAGGAGTTGGGGTGCCTCATATTCCAGGTGTGGATGGATGTGTTCACTCACCTACCTGGATGCTCTCTGAACCCTGTACAGTTGGGATTTTATGGAGACTTCCTCACTTAGGCAGGATCAGTTATTAACTCTATTTCCAGCCCCTCTCCCTTCTCTGTAGAAGGTGGGGTTGGGGGATGCTGAAAACGAGAAGGCTCTAATAATGGCTTGGTGTTTCGGGTGACCAGCCTCCATCTAAGAGCCCACCCAGAGTGGCCTCATTAGAACAAAAGATGCTCCTAGTGCTCTTATCACTTCGAAATTTAGAAGGGTTTCAGGAGGCCTGTGTCAGAGATGGGGCCAAAGACAAATATTAGAACAAGAGATGCTCATAGCATTCTTGTCATTTAGGAAATTACAAGGGTTTTAGGAGCTCTGTGCCAGGAACTGGGGGCAGAAACCAATATATATTTTTCTAGTATTTCATAATGTCTCTTATAAGTAGTTTTCTTTTTTTCTTTCAGCCTCCAATCAGGGTTCCTGCATTGCTTTTTCATTACCTTTAGCTAACTGACTGTACATTCTTTTAATCCATCATCTCTCACTGAGGTTAGTTAACCATGAAGAAAATATTGGGTGATTATGGAGCTAGGAGAGGTCTTGATCTTATCTGAGAACTTCAAATTGGGTAAAATTTTGTATATCATGTTAAGTATTTTGGTGGATTATAATAGAAACATAGTGCGAAGCTCTTAGAGATGTGACATGTTCTAATTTGTATAGTATTAATTTTTGAGGCAAAATATTTTAGTGTATCGCAATTTGGTACAAAATGACATTGAACAAAACTGAAAAATACATTTTTGAGACAGTCTGGGAAGTCAAACATGAAATAAATATGAGATTATTAAGGAATTATTATGTGTGATAATGGCTAAGAGGTTCTGTTAAATTCTTTATCTGTTAAAGATCAATAAGCCCTAGCCAGTTTTGCTCAGTGGATAGAGCATCAGCCCATGAACTGAAGGGTGGGTCCCAGGTTTGATTCTGGTCATGGGCAGCATACCTCAGGTGCAAGCTTGATCCCCTGCTCTGATCGGGACTCGTGTGGGAGGCAACTAATCGATGTGTGTCTCTCACATTGCTGTTTCTCTCTCTGTTTTCCCTTCCCTTCCACTCCCTTCAAAAGAATACAACATCTGAATTTGCTTTAAAGTACATCAGCAAAAAAAAAAAAAAAGGGGGGGGGGATAGGACTATATGAAACAAGAATAATTTTGATAATTATTGAAACTAGGTGATGGGTATTTTTATGTGTTTGATTCATTGCATAAGAGGTTAAAAAAACATAACCA